GATTTATTTTCCTTGAGGTGGTAAATCTGGGTTTGCACCGGAGCCACATGGCTTTCTGTTGTTCTGCTGTGTAACTGCTACTTAACATTGTTTCAGACAGGTTTGTTTAGTATTGGAAGTGATCTCCAACAGCAAGAACTCTGCCTTTTCTTGTTAATCTCTCAAAATAACATACTGGCAAGGTCCCTGCGGCAGAGTGGCGGTGATGGGTACCGAGACGTGTGTCTGAAGCTCCTGCAAAGGATCCGAGATTTTGAGCTGTGCCTGTTCTGTAAGCAGGTGTGTAACTGCTCTTTGTTCTGAATGTCTTTACAGGCCCTGGAAGTGATCAGGCAGTTAAAGGAGACCATGCAAATTGAACGTGCTCACATGAGGCTGCGATTTCTTCTTCCAGCAAAGGAGGGGAAGAAACTGAAAGAGAAGCTCAAGCCCCTGATTAAAGTTATTGAGAACGAAGACTTCCACGAACAGTTGGAAATTGTAAGCGGTCAAGCGATTCTTGTGTTTCCTACTTGATTTGACTACACCTGTACAGTTTACTGGGAGATGAATTAATCTATGGAAATGGTTTAGATAAGCTGCAAGATTACCAGAGATTCTAAATCAGAGGGGTAGTTTGTAGTTTTTCATTTCACACAACCCTATTGATGAAAGCTTGGAAGTAGCCTTTATTACTCAGAGACTGCTGCTTGGAGCTGAGGAGAAGCCCCGTGTCATTTCTCTTCGCAGCGCCTCTCCTACAACACCGATGATTTCCTTTGCAAATATGGAATGTTCCTCTTGTTTACTTGGTGGGTCAGGCCTGTATTTTCACAGTGGTTAATTAGTTTTTTCAAAAATACTCTGTAGTAAAGTAAAATTTGATATTGGTAAAAGTCTTCCTGAGAACAGACCAGACTCTAGCAATGTCTCTAGTCAAGAGACATGTCCCCAGCATGGACATAGAACTGCAGAACTGTGGAAAGATGACTTGATAGTAATCGCTGGTCAACTCTGCAAAGTCCTTCGTAGGAACTAAACAATTTTTTTTTTTTTAAATGAAAATTAGCATTAGACCGTAGAATCATAGAATCATTTAGATTGGAAAAGACCTTTAAGATCATCGAGTCCAACTCTTAACGTAGCACTGCCTTCTTGAGACAGGGCTAAGCGGAAGCAAATATTATTGCTTGGCTGATGAAATGTGAACTATTTCAGGTGTGCCTTATTGACCCAGGCTGCTTCAGAGAGATTGATGAGCTGATCCGGAGTGAGACAAAAGGGAAGGGAACGCTGGAAGTGCTCAGTCTGAAAGACGTGGAGGAAGGAGATGAGAAGCTCGAATAACGAAAACCTTCCTGGCACAGTTCTACTTGAACAACATCCTACGAAATGACTGGTGTTAGCCACTCTCTTCTGTTAGGCCTTCATGGTTTTTCCAGTCTCTTGCTGCCAAATATTTTCTGACACTAATCCTTTGGGATTTTTCCATGCAGCGTGGGTTTTTTTTAATCGCTTTACACTTGTTTGGTTTACAGATGGGTTTTCCTGTAGGAACATTTGGTGTCAGAGTTGCACTACTGAGGATTGAGTTAAGACTCGATATAGAAGTTACTCTTGCTTTGGTTTGCTTTAATTAAGGGTTGCAGTTGAAGAGCATCTGACTGATAGGGTGCCAAGAGGTTTTTCTTGAAGTTGTCGGTGTTGAGTGGGAGATGGCATATGTGGCTGAGAGGTGGGTTTTGTATGTGAGGAGAGGAACCTGAAGAAAAGGGAGCTGCATTTTCACTCTTAAACAGGTGCAAAGTGTGGATCCTGTCTGAACTGATCTTGTGGCAGCGTGAAAACTGACTTAGACTTCCCTAATTGGTTGCTCGATAATTAGAGTACTTTAACGGGCCATTCTTAGAGATTTCCTTCACTGGCTATAACAGTACTTGCTGACTTAGAAAAAAAAATGTTCTCCAAATAAGGTATTGATAAAATATATTTAGCTACATTAATAAAAATGAGCTATCATCTATTTATATATTACAGATAAAGAAATAAAAAATTATGTTTCGTGAAGAGTCTAGGAGGCTTCTGGGGCCAAGGCGATGCT